ACCTGCCGCTCTCCGCCACCTGCCGCTCTCCGCCACCTGCCGCTCTCTGCCACCCACACATTTCTGCTCCGTGAAGGATTAACTCTTTGCTGTCCTGCTGCACTTCTCTTCTCTACAATTTAAATTTAAATACTGTGTTAAAGAAACGATCCATGCTGCATGGACTGTTTATAGTTGCAGCTTCATGCACTCCGCCCATCTTTCAGACGACTGTACGTACATGTTTGCGTTGTATCTCGGTGCAATGCCAATAAAGTTTATTCTGATTTAAAATATTACACAGTATTTAAATTTAAAATGTCTATTTACACAGAGGTGAGCGAGTGGGAGGTAATGAGTGTGACTGCAGCAGAGAAGTGGGCGTGGCAGAAAGCGGAGATCATGACATGCTGTGTTCTTTTAGAACGTTTAGAGTTTAGAAACATTGCTTAGAATATTGCAAGAGTGTGGGAAGAGTTTATAGAGCATTAATATATATATACTAAAATAAACTATTACCTACTACTACCATTTGTACTACTATCCCTACTTCGCGGTTTTTTTACTTATCTGTGGGGGATGGTCCCTAAACCCCGCAATAAACGAGGGACTACTGTATTCTTAATTTTGTAGATTTTTTCCTTCAGCGTGTTCTAAAATCTTTTGTCCATCTAAAAAGTCTGCAAAAGCTGCAAAATCCTAAAGCTTGAAGTTTCATTCCCAGTTTGGCGCCCTCATAGCTCGTATGTGGGTTAAGTTGAAACCAGTCTGCACAGCAGAAGCAGCCCACACATAACAGCGGTCATAGACAACACCAACAAAGCTGGAGGAGGCGTTCGAGTCAAATCAAAAACAGCCGAATGAGAGCGTTCAGTCACGCCTGTCCAGCTGCTTCAGTCGGATGTGGGACCGGTAAATCCTGGCCCTCTTAAATGCTCCGTCAAGCTTCAGGAAGTTAATATGGTGTGTTGACAAAGACGGATGGTTTTCCTCAGGCCGACCTCACTTACGCAACCAGAGAGAGCTCTTTAGGTGTGAGATGTCAAAAGTTCCTCCAAGGCGACCAGCAGCTTAGGGATCCCACACATAGGAGCCAAAGTTTATTTTAAAGATAAAATACACGACAGTAAGTACTAATACTTTAATAATATTTAATCCACTAATTTTAAAACAAATAATTCACCAAATGATGTGCTGCAGGCTTTAGATCATGTTTCTAGGGCGGATGTGGTGCAGTGGTAAACGGACTACAGCGCCTTTCTTCTACCTTATCAAGATAAAGCGCTTTACAACACAATCGGTGTCTCATTTACTCATTCATACAGCTCTATACTAGATCTCTACAGAGAATAATCAGTGTTTTATCACATCATACACTGATGGGACACACATCGGAGGCAATGACGGGTTCAGTGTCTTGCCCAGGGACACTTCAGCATGTGACTGCTGGTGGAATCGAACCCCCAACTCTTGCATCGGAGGACGACTGCTCTAACCACTCAGCCACAGGTGCCGTAGTGAAAGTCTCAAGATCAATTCCCCGCCATGCCCACTTGGCTGTGTCTGTGATGGGTTAAATGCAGAGCACACATTTTGTGGAATGATGAGACACTTCACTTTCTTATTCACAAAAAGCCAAACTCAAGCTGACTTAACACAAACCTGTTTCTTTTTACTAAGACTCAGAAGAAGTCTTAATGCATACGAGGGGGGTTTATATTTTAATTTAAAACGGGCAAATTCAAAGACAAAAGTTATTTTATTTTACACCATGGGGACAGTGCTGCTGTTCGGCTTACTGTTTTTGTACTACTAGTGCTTAGCGTATTTTTAACTTAACGTTTTTCTTAGTTCATATCTTAGATCTTACTACTGGGTTTTTTTTTACATTTTACTGTTGGATGTAAATGGGACCCTGTGTACACAGTTTCATTCCACCTCATGTACCACATGTGACGAATAAAGAACCTTTGACTTCGATGAAATCTGTTAATCCTTAGATTAACAATCACCAACTTTGCATTTTTGGATTGTATAATAATTGGGATTGAAATAAGAGCAAACATCAATTTATGGTTTATGATTTGGACTTTTTTTAATGTCGTTTTTTTATTTAACTTTATTTATACAGGCAGTCTCACTGAGTCACCAGGACTCATTTTCAGGAGAGACCTGTCTGGCGCTGTGTAAATAAAAAGTTTATACCTGTATGAAGTGATCCTCTTCAGTTTAGATGCGGGCACATCGTAACCACATTCCTCCAGCACCTCCTGCCGGGCGATCTCCTCCAGGGAGAGGTCTGGTTTGTCCACCAGGCCGGCACAGAGCTCGTAGGTGACCCCCGCTGAGGCTGGGGGCCACTGGGACGAGCTCTCCTCCTCTGAGGCCGACTGGCCCTCCTGAGACTCTGAAGCTTCGCCCTCTTCGGTCTTTTCAGGAGCCTGAGAGGTTTTTGTTTTTGCCTTTTCCCACTCGCACATGTACACAGCTGCAGGGGAGGAAAATGAAGGAGAAACGCTGAATAAAGATGGACCTGGAGTTAAGAACCGAATGTTGTTCTTGTGGCCATTTTTCTCCCATCAACATTTATAAATGAAGGGAGGAGAAAAGTATCGAGGCCCAGACTTCCTTGAATTTAGCTCAGTGCAGTGTGAAAAAGCCTCTGGCGACTTTTAACAAAGGAGATTAAGCTACTTTGTACTGTAATGGGGGCCGTGGGGGTCTATTTATGAGTTTACATTTCAACAAATCGGTTGACTGAACAGAGTTTACATTGTACTGTTTCAAGTGAAAGTGCCCACAGGATGTTCTATAGTCTAAACTTAGACTGGTGTCAAAAAAAAAAAAACGTAGGGCGGGCAAAAAAAGCTGCAGTTAATTTATCTTTGTTGTAGCAAACACACCAGTTGTGCTACTGGTTTGTTGCTTTCTGAACAAAGAAAGAGAGCATACCTGGACGGAACTGCTTGACGAGGACAAAACAGTGCGAGGTGGTGTTGAAGATCAGCACGGATACGCTGCAGGGATCAGAGAAAGAGGCCAGAGTTACACAAAGTTGGTTTAAAAATCTGCACAAATGACGTGAAACTAGACCTGTCGCGATAAACAAATCAATCGCATGATAAATGAAAATTATCTACCTCGTTTTCATTTATCGACTTTATCGTTTCTTTGTGTCTCTCTCTTTCTACTGAAGACACTGGATGACAAAAGGTTCAACTCCGGTGCTCTGCACTGACCCCTCCCTTACTCTTTTCTCTTCAAAATCCTTTTTAATCGTCCAAAATCACGTTTTTGGATCGTTAAAAGCAGCTAAGCTGAGAAGCTAAGCTACGAGTTAAGCTAACAGGCCGACCTCGGGGGAAAAAAACTTCGTCTTGTCGAAGCTCCAGAATTCATGGTTGAAACCCGTGCCTTCATCTAAAAGTTGTTTTTCTCTGCAGAAAGAAGCTGAGAACTTGTTTAATGATTTTTTATTAAAAGCTTTGTGTGAAAAATGCTCTGCTAAAGAGCTCAAACCACACCGAGCGTCCACCATTTTGAGAACCGAAAGAAAGGAGAGACAGCCCATGTCACGTCAAGGGGCCTCCCTCCCATTTTCTTAAAGAGACACGCTGCTTGCTCCCTCACTATCCATCCTTCGGTTCAAACAGTCTTATACCGCCATCCAGTGGTTGAAAAAAGGTACTACACTCAAAATAAATTAACCAACATTTCTTCTTAAATTTGACAATTACTAATTATTGTCAAATTTCAAACGATATCGTTTATCGCAATAATTTCTGAGAGAATTAATCGCCCAGCAAAATTTGTTATCGTGACAGGCCTATGTGAAACTGGTCAAACACTTAAGACAAAACCATTTTATTCAAGGCATTTTACATTTCTTTTGTCTTCTGTAGAACAAAAACATTTAAAATATAATAAACCTCAAATTTAACGCGCGTGAACATTAAATTTTATTTGGTATGTATGTGAATAACTTGGTTATATCAATGCACTTAACCATCAGATTCACAACACAATGCCTCGCCAAGTGTACTCTTGTATTGGACATTTCCTGTGATAAACTTCTAAAAATAAAGTGATACTAAAATACCCCCCACTTCTAAAACAAGACGTAGAACCAGAGACCAGAAGGTCAAATTGCAGGGATATGGACCCGTCACTACAAAGATATGGAAATGAAAGTGGAGCGAAGGTCCTGGTGAAATGTAGCCGGGTCAGTTTGTGTTTGTGCGGCGCTGCCGGTGCAGACTTGGAGGCCCGGGCTCTGTGTTGGGAAAAGCGGATGTGTCTGAGGCGGCAGGAAGCCCTGCCCTGCCTTTCCCGTGCTGAAAGGGAACCAGTTAAAATACTGGACCACGTCTACTCAGGTCATGATTTCAGGCCTGCGCTTTGACGTTTGAGCTGAGACTTTGAAGAAGAAAAGGTCATGTTGGCCAGAAAAGTTTAACTTTACATGTAAATCCAGCAAAGTTCAGTCAAGTCATCTGGACGGTTTCTTTTTTTGTTTTTTGTTGAGACGTTTCGTCCTTCATCTAAAGGACTTCATCAGTCCGAGAAGCCACAACAAACTCAGTCCCACAAGCAGCACACTCACATACTGGACCAACCAGGTTGCTGGTGCTAAGATGGTTTCTGGGGCCCGCCCTCTCCCCTGTCGACTCCTCTGAGGCAGCCGTGGTCACGGTGGTTCAAAACGTCAAAGCTCGTGCTCAATAATCCAGAGGACCTGACTTAACTTTGCGGGATTTTTTTTTACCTGGATTATTGATCATGAACTTTGATTTTTACAAGTAAACTTAAAAAAACTGACATCTCTATCCAATAATTCAGGTCCACTTAAAGGTTGGATTTTTTTTCTTCTTTCGGCTGCTCCTCCTTCAGGGGTCACCACAGCGAACTGACTCGCACAAAGACCTGGCAAGTGTTTTGTACTCCAGATGTTCTTCCTCACACAACCACAGACCACTGAGCTACCACAGCCCTCTGTGTGGAGCAGAGAGCTGCCATCTGCCCGGGCGGGGGAGCAGATGGTGGGGGTTAAGGGCCTTGCTCAAGGGCCCAGAGTGGAGCAAATGGAAGTGGAGGCAGGTGTGGGTGCTTCACCTTTTTCACTCACATTTTGATGTTGTCGGTACAGTGAGTGGAACCGGCGACCTTCAGATCACAGGCCCACCTTCTCCAACCTCTGCACCACCACTCGCCGATACTTAAGGGTCGTATATTATTGTCTGCATATTTTATATCATTTTAATCATTCACACCAAAATGTTCGTTCAGGAGATGGGTGCTGTGACTTTTGTTCTTTTTAGATAATATAAACTATGTGCGGCGCAGAGGTTAGAGAAGGTTGCTCTGTGATCGGAAGGTCACCGGTTCGACTCCCCGGACCGACAACATCAAAATATGGGTGGAAAAGGTTGAACACCCACACCTGTCTCCACCTTCATTTGCCCCACTCCGGGCCCTTAAGCAAAGCCCCCAACACCCACTGTCTGCTCCCAAACAGGTCTCTCTTCAAAATGAGTATATACAGAGTTTATACAGGTATACCTGTATAAAGAATGGTTAAAATAAAATAAGATTTAATAACTATAGAAATCTATTGAGATCTCTTCAAAAACAAAGTCGTATTCAGATTTGACTTCAGCGTTTGTTTTTAAATTACTATGCTACTTTTAGCTTTTTGTTAGCCTTGCCTACTTTTCAACCAGTTGCCTCAAGTTTTTCTACACTTAACTAAGTTTTAGCTTTCATGTTCCTACACTTAGCCTTCTGCTTCTGTTTAGCTTTTTTAGTTTCTGTTCTGCTTGTTTAAAGGTTAAAAACCCACCTTCGGCAAATTTCACCAATCAATCAGCTCTCTGTTATCTTCATGTTTGAAGCCTGAAATGTGGCAAAAGGTTGAAAAGTTCAAGGGGGCCGAATACTTTAGCAAGGCACTGTATTTTCTTTTGCGCCAGAACTGAAAACATGATTTGATTATTTTGATTTTTAACCAATCAGAACTACAGATTGGTTTTTATTGTAGCTGCAACGACAATCAACCACAGCTGGTTCATAAAGAGGTTGGCAAAGTCGTATAAAGCCTCAGTTAAATTGTAGTTTACGTCTCAACTTAAAGAAGAACAGAGAACAATAGTGATGTATTTTGGGTGGAGATCCTCTATTGACTGTGTCGAGGTTAGATTTCTTCGAGCAGCTCCTCTACATTGATCTGATTGATCAGCCTCTGATGGACAACACAGATGGTCCATTCAGGCACTTCATTTTTTTTTTTTGTTTATTGTTCTTTTGAAAGACGATACGTAGTTGTGCAAGGACAAATAAAAATGCAATGCGATTTTGAGAAAAACGCAAAACAATCCTGAGTCCTTTTAACAAATGCTACAACAATTTAGAGGAATTTCCTCTTTAAGAAGAGCTGCGTGTTGAACGGAGGTTTGAAGCTTGCTGCTTTTTCTCAGGGGTGCTATTTTTTACAAAGAACCTGTGCTCGGGGTCAGTAGAGGAGGAAGGGTTGAAATGACCTGAAACTTACCTCGGGGCATTACGGTACATTAAGGAGGAGAATCGGTGGTTTGACACAAACGTGTGATATTTGTTTTACAATACATCCCATGAAACTCAGACTTTTATAAGCAATGTATTTGATTTAGAGTAGGTTTCCACATCTCATAGAAACAGGCTTGTTTAGTTTAATGATCCAGTAAATGAAAAGTGTATGAAAGATTAAAAATAACTGGATAGATTTCCAAACATTGACAGAAAACACAAACACAAAACAAAATTAGCATTTTGACAGAACAACAAGGGATCTTTTTATCATTGGATGATGATAAAGGCCATTTAAAACTAAAAAACATTGGAAATACAACATTTTACAGTGCACAAAAAATATGAGTCTAAACTGATGGAAATAAAACGTTGAGCACCTTCGTTCTCGTTTGTTGATCCCAGACAGCTACGTGGGATTCAACTACTTTAGATACAAGATCTTCCGATTAAGAAATGTTTTGGACACGAACGTGGATGGTTCAGAGGTTGACCACAGAAACGCTGCTTGAAAGTTGAAACCTGTTTCAAGTTAAATTTGTGGAGATAAATTAGCCTCAAAAGAACTCACAAAAGCAAACAAGATTCAAAAATGCATACAGTTTTTTTTCTAATAAGACAAGATAATGTATATTTGTCTAAAACGTCATATGTTCCAGATTCATTCATTCATTCAACCTTTATTTAGACAAGTTAATCCCATCGAGCCTCGGGGACTCATCTACAAGAGAGACCTGAAATTCACAGGGTTATTAGAAGCAACATATTTCTGACTCGACACGGTAGTTCGCTTTAGGCTCCCACAGACTCGTGCGATCCTCAGTCCGCGAGGAAGACGTGCGCTATGTCCACAGAGGGTTTAGACTTCGTACTCGAGCGTCCACCCTGTGCGGCTGCAGTCAGCTCCGCAGGCAAGGGGCGTTTACCTTCGGGACAAATTGAGTTCAGCGATTGGTCATTTGCTGACACGCCTACTGGATTGATTGACAGGTCGCAAAAAACAAAACAAACAGAGAGCTGGCAGCCCCAGCAGCAGCAGTGTTGTGTTTATATGTTGTTAATAAAAAGTTCTAAAAACTACCGCTTGCCTCTTGGGGAAAAAACTAAACAGGCCAGACCACAGCTGAAGAAGGGGAATTTAATACATTGGTGTTGCACATAAAACAGTCTGTCGCCGGGCAGTTTATTGTGCGACACCGAGTACGTGGTCGTAAATATTGATCTTTGCGCAGATACGTCCTGCGGGCGTCCGCTTCGACTCTGATCCGGTACACGCGGACCTCCGAGGACTGACGTCCGCGCGAGTCTGTGGGAGCCTTTAATTTGACATTAAATGATGCCAAAAAATGTTAATTTTATGGACTGTAGGAAAATAAACAACTCAAAATTGGTAGGTTATTCTTCTTCTGGAAAAAAAAACTACTGCCCTCAGTGTCCGAGCCTCTACCAGAGAATGGTGGATGGTTAAACATGTACGTAGAAAAAATGAAGGCAATAATTGTTGCCAGTGGGATTAAACAGATTGATAATGTTTATCATCAGGCGTGCACCGATTGCAGTTTTCTGGCCGATCACCGAGCTCTAAAAAGTCTGACCTGCCGATTCCGATTTTGTTTTACAAGCGACACTGTCGGGCGTTATAAGGTCACGATGCACCTTCAATTTTCAATCTTATTTTATTGAAAAACATACCCTTGAACAATATCCTAGAAACAATACAAACGTTTTAACTGGCCGTGAGGTAGTGCTCTGAAATATAAATGAAGTTTAGACAATTGTTGTTAAAACTACAAAAAAGAAAAAAAATCTGTAAAATCGGTTTCTCGTGTAAGTATCGGCCGTTCTCCCAAACTTAAGGAAATCGGAGCTGATTTATTGGTGCGCACCTATTTATGATCTTAGATAATATGGAACAGAATATCTCCATGTTTGATAGTTGGATGCAGATGTCCAAACTTTTCACTGGCCTTGAACGCAGCATTACACTTTGTGAATCAGGAGCATGAAGAAAGTCGTACATTTGGAAAACGGTTAACGCGTTTGTGATACTTGTGGTGAACATTTGGGAATCTAGTCGTACACTCGTGGATCTTGTTTTATGTTTTTGTGAATACGTTTGAGACCAACTTATTTCTATACAAACATGGCTGTTTGAATGTTGTTTTATTTGTGTTAAGAGAATTTTTTGATCAAAGGTTACGAATGATTATTGTGCTTTATTATTGTGGCTGAGAATCTTCCCCTCTGCCCTGAGAACAAGGAGCTCAGTTGTCTCCAAAAACTCTCCCTCATCTCAAACTGAAGAAAGTCTCTTTGATGCCCATGAACCATATGTTTGTGCAACCAAAGTTTTGTGTGAGGAGGCTGCAGCTGGCTTCAAGGACACCCACTGAATTAAAATAAACTCGATATAAACACATATATGTTGATGTATGTAGTCTCGAAATCTGCCCTTGCAAGTAAAATGCCGGTCAGGTCTTCACCTGCCGTAAGTTGCGGTTCTTTTGAGTAAACAACGTTAAAGAATGCGCTAATTTCTCCAACAGGAAGCCCCTTTGTTCACCAGCAAAACGCTTCATCTTCAAGTGAAAACGTAGAAATGTGAGACAACTAGACAACATGCAATAACTGCAGGGGAATGTTTTACCTGTCATGAGTTCGCATAAAGTCCCAGGATTTCTTTGTGCCATTCTGTAAAGAAACACATTTAACAGCATAAACAAAATATCCTTATATCAATTATATTGACTGTTGTCTCTGGGTGACAGAGAAGCAAAAACAAACACCATCAATATATATTAATAACTGACCGATTCTTGATTAGAATTAAAACTGTAGCACAAAGAACACTTTACAAAAACATCTATAAAGACAAAATAATAATAATAAACTAAAACGTGTGCACAGGGAAGACTTTAAAGTTTTTTTACGAGACAAAAAACAATTATACCTTCATTTATTTTACACCGAACACAAAAGCAAGGCAAATAAAACATATTTCGTTTACTTTTTATGGCTTTTCATGGAGAAATTCTTAAAGATTAAATACTCAAACTTGTGTTTGTGATATTTACTCTGACAGGAGCTTCTGTGAAATTTTTAAGCGCAATGCTAACGTCATTAAATTGTACAGTGAAGCAGGTGAACACTACACGATTATGATCACAACCAATGTGGTGTCAGCCTGTTTATTCATCTTAATATTTCCTTTTGAGTTATTCATATTTAAACCTATTCAAAGGGGCTAACTATCTGTAAACGAAGGAGATGCAGTAAATATACATATGTCAAGAGTTACCTTTTAAACATCAGAAATGCGTAACAAACACAAACAACCCCCATGTGTGAATTCACCGCAGTAACTTTGCATATATTCTCTCTTCACATTACTGTATAAAAATGGTAAAGTTGGCCTACATTCCATGTGCCTGAGGAAATGTGACCTTGATTCAGATTTAGGCTGCACCTCCTCTCCACCCACAAGCTCCGTCAGACGCAAGGAAGACCGCTTTACCAGAGCAGGCGTTTTTATTCCTCAGCAAGAGATCTGGTGTTTGAGTGAGTTGGTGCAGGTTCATCCAAGAAGAAGACGACGAAACTGAAATAGTGAGTGAGTTGTAGCGACGTGACTTTTTAAATCTGTGATTTGTAAAGCACGAGTAAATAACGATGACCCGAGACAAGAAAAAACAGCGTTTAACTCTCGCTATCTGCTGTTAATCCAGAGAAATTAAGCCAAGACAGATGTTTTGGCTGCACTACGGTCTACCAGTGTAATTACTTAGAAAATCCTGTCATGTCAATAAGAGAGTGTGTGTCTTACACAGAGTGAGTCCCAGTAAGGTCGAGCCAGAGTGAATGGTCACTACAACAGTAACGGGCAGCAAGTAAATGGTCTCTCTTTGAAGTTGTGCTGAAATCAAAAAAGATAAATGCTAAAAAGTACTTTACAATGCATTTCTGATCCCTCCAACCATACTGATCTTTCTATTATGTATTCGTAGTACATTTATATTCTCACTAGTACACCAATAATCATATGGAGGGGTCTCTCCCGTGGACACTTTGACACACTGCAGAGACTCTGGATCATGTCCACAATCATCTAATTGGAAGACCACTTCCACCTTTTACCATCTAAACAATAACAGCGACAGACCGCAGTAATACCACCACCTCGACAACTGTGTTATTTGTTGGATGTCTCCTGTCTGCAGTGGTCAGGATCTACCAAACGCCGTCCAACGAATGAGAGCCTGTGAACTGGCAAAACAGTCACCAGTAATGTTTTCTGTAAGTGGGATTTTCTAATCCAGTAAAACAAGCTAAAGTCAACTTAAGTCCTGAACTAAAGCTCAAGGATGTCATTTATTTTTAACTGAAATGTGTCAGAAGACGGTGCATCACAACTTGTTTATCGCATCCACAGAACAGCCAGAGCAATTTGCCAAAGAATCCCACAATGGGCACATCTACATCAGAACTAACCCACAGTTGTACTACGTATAGCAACAGCAATGCACGATAGAAGTAGTCCTCAATCCTGGTCTTCGAGGGACACCATCCTGCCCGTTTTAGATGTTTCTCTGCTTCAACACTCCTCTCTGAATGAATTATTATTATAGATTTACAGGCTTCTGCAGAACTTGAAGACCTGCTGAAGAGCAGGGAAACAACATGCAGGACAGTGGCCCTCAGGCTTGAGGACCACAGCACTATATGAAAACCTTAGGTCCAGCCAGTGAAGTAGATATTACTCTAATATGCTATTTTTTGGCTATTTCTGGGTGTAAACTGGGACCTTGAGTACATAATTTCATTCCACCTCATATACCACATGTGATGCGAATGACAATAAAGATACTGGAACTTAAAGCCTCTTAAAGCACCCTGCCACATCACAAGGATGGTTTTGAGGAATACAAGAACAAGTACCTCAAGTGATTTAGCCTCAAAATTCTCAAGGTTTCATTGGACAACCTAGTCCAATTCATGCAGTCCCCACCTCATAACCTAAAGGATCTCCTACTGACTGCTTCTGAACAGATGCCAGAGACATGATGTAGATTTACCTGTGCCGGGAGTTTCCACTCCATGAATCTTTGGAAGGACAACTCAAGACTTATCACTGTAAGAAGAAGCTGAATTAATCCTTTGCAAAGTGTTTGGCATGTAAAGATAAAGTAGGTGGTTTACAAACGTGCCTGGGAAAACCTGACTGACACGAGGAAAACAGTGGCGCAATTCAAGTGCCAAACAAGTTCCCAATCTGCCTTACGGCCTTGGTCAAACTTATGGAAAATTTAAAGAACTGGCGAAAAACTAAAAATTGAATTCACAGAAATTGTGCGACTTATGTTAACAGTTGCAATCAACATTTTTGAAATCCTGTTGCTATTGAAAATAAGTTGTTTAGACACATGTCTGGTGTTGGAACAAGGCTGTACGGACGACACTGCGTACCGTTATCACTACTGCCTTCCATTGTACAAAATAAAACACAAATTGTTGTCAAAGTACTCTTCAGTGCCCCGTTACCACACACAGATGGCTGGGCTCCCCTCATTACTTGGGCCACTTGCTGAGAAGGGGGTGGCGGGAACAGCGTGAATGGCCTAGGGGAGATCCAGAACCATGGCTGACATGGATTACTACGGAGAGATTAGCCCGTGGGGAGAGATGGAGTCAGAAAGGAAGGGAAGCAGAAGCAGCTGACGGGGGACCTTAAAATCGATGTGGCCCCACTAACATCAGAAATGGCGAACTCCTGTGAGAACGGTGGCTGCAGAGAGAGGTAATCTTGATCTTTTAGGTCCTTAAACTCTAACAACTATATATTTCAAAACACACAAAGCTCCTGCACTGACAACAACATAATAATTTACGAGCGTATTTTACGAAGCAACAAAAATGATCATCTTGAAAACGCTAATACACAAGTTTGTGGCGCTCCATTTAATGTAAGCTTTATTATCTTGCAGGTTAATTATATTAGTCAACAATTAGTTGGTTCTTTAAATTGCTAACCTAAAAGATCAGACGTTTTACATCCTATTAAAGATAACTATCAGTTAATGTGATTTTTTATTTTAAACCTTAAATAAATTTACAGTAGAATCATCATCTGTTATTGTTGCATTAATTTCACGTCCACCGGTTTTAAAACGTATGTTTTTAATTAAAAACCAAAGTAAATTTTGATTATATTTATTGGTACGAAATGGAAATTCTCAATCTACGAAACAAACAAAGTACACAAATAATTTGCCACAAGTTAATTGCGAGAATTGAGAAACTGTGTTTGAAGCTCGCTGAGGAGTCAAACAAATGATGGTTCCAGATGAATAATTCAAACCATCGTGTTGAATAAATGAAAGGTAATTATTCAAATCCAAGTAGCAACTTGTGATTCTCTATCAGCGATAAGAGGGGTTCCCCAGAGTCAACAAGGGACAATCACCTGCTTTCTAGAGGGAGTCGAAACAAAACATCACCAAAACCAGTGATTCAGAGAGTCTCTTACAGGACATTATCCACTCTGAGGGTCTGGGAGTGTTGGTGGGACGGATCAATGACCAGTGGCTCAGCTGCAGGTGGACAGAGGAACAGAAAAGGACTCCAGAAGAGAAACTCCCTCAGAGCGATTTTTAAACAGCCTTTGTGAGGACTCGGAGTGGAGCCCGTCCTGAGCTCTGAAGGGCACATGAGGAGGATAAGATACAGACGGGGGTCAACATCGTCTTTTTTGTTGTCCATCTGCCATCTTTAGCCAAACTCCTGACAGGTGTAACCTCGCTCCTCTGACGTCACAGGTGGGAACCCCAGACAGGACCACCTCCTGAGCCTCTGATCACATGATGCCATTTAAAGCCATTATAGTTGTCAAAATATGCCATTGTTCAATTCATTTAATTTGAATGTGTGTTTAGTGATAACCAAAAATCATTAAAACAGTGAACTTGTTCACTGAGAATACAGATGCTCATTGTTTAAACTGACTTAAGAATAGTTTGGTGTCCCTAGCTACTTCGCGGTTCGTTTATCGCCGACTCGCTTTATCGCGGTTTTTCAAAATAAGACAGGACATTATACAGAATTTGCCGATTTATTTCTGAACCTTTATTTAACCAGAAAAATCCCATTGAGATCACAGATCTCTTTTGCAAAGGAGGCCTGGGCCTGAAGGCAGACCAATATACATGCTTTTGGTCGGTGGGAGGAAATCAGAGTACCCGGAGAAAACCCACGCAAGCACCAGAAAAACATGCAAACTCCCGAACTCTTCCTGATTGATGGATGAGCCGCACGATCGGCACAGAATTAAAAAAATATATATAAATTATTTTAAATTATTTAGCACCTGCAGCACCCTTTGTGCAGCACTTACTGAAGGATAAACCTCCTGCTGCAGCTGATCAGCTGTTCTCCATGCAGGAGAAGTGGGCGTGGCCAAAAGCACTTGCAGGTGGCAAAGAGCAGAGGAGGAAGGGAGCTGAAATCATGACATTGTCTTTTTAGAGCGTTTAGATTTTAGAAACGTTGTGTTTCACTTATCGCGGGTCTTCAGGGCACGGCTCCCCCGTGATAAACGAGGTACTACTGTATACTGAAAATAAAACAAATAAAAAACACCTAACTTTATCAATAGGTTACACGTTTACATAGCTTACCCTGGCTGTTATGTTTGGTGACCATTCGTCAAAATCAGATCATTTAAATAATCAGGTTAAGAAATAGACAATACTTTGGATTGTTCATCCATTTCCTTACATGCACATCTTCATGGAGGTCTGAGTTGTTTAATACTAACAATTCCTACAAGCGTTGTTCCTCGTCAGCTGGCTCAAGCTTCTCCACATTTCAACTTTTCTGTCATTTGGATATTTTATGGTTTCCAGGCCATCAGACTCTGCAAATACATGAATAGCCCCAATATCTTGATCCAAATGCTTCTACTGTCAAAGCTCTTAATAATTATTTCAGCCTGATGCTCTTGATTAGTCTTTCAGCATGGTGAAGACGCATCCTGTGCATGCATGATACTGCTGACACCAGTCGAAGCGGCCTATAGTGTCCTGCTCCTTCTGGACTTCTCAGTACCAACAGTAGTGTCATCTTTGGCTGATTAACAGAAAAACTGCAAAGCTATTGTCAAATACTAAATGAATTCAGGTCACCAAATTGTGATTGTTTAAGGAAATATTTCGCACTTTGCTGGAAACTATTATATGACGTAGCTTTAGGGCCACGCTAAGAAAAAAAAAATAAAATAATAATATTACAAGAATAAATTTTGTCAATTTTTTTTTTTTTTTTTTTGCAGCTCTTGTTTATTTTATTTTATTTTCACGAGTCGGATACGAGACCTGTCAATCAATCCAGTAGGCGTGTCAGCAAATGAACAATCCGAAGCTAAATGAGTCGTAATATGATTCGAACTCCCGACACGATAAAGCAGGTTTACAGCATTTTAACGGTGGTAAAATGAAGAATGTTGAGCATCTTGTTAAGTTATACTTTGGTATCAGTTTTACAAATAAGGATACACTTAATCCGTTAGCACATCAGCATCAGATAATTATCAGTTTCAGGACTTTGAACCTGCTCACAGTAAGGTGGTACGCTGTGATGGGCTGCAGAGCAGCTCTGCAGGTAAGGAGCATTTAGCTTCGGATTGGTCATTTGCTGACACGCCTTCTGGATTGATTGACAGGTTGCGTAGTGGATCTGACTCATAGGAAAAAATTAAAATAAAAACGAGAGCTGTAAAAAAAAAGTCTCATACGACCTTTTTCACACACTATTGACTTTATTCGACTTTATTCTTGTAATTTTATGGCTTTTATTATTTATTTTTTTCTTAGCATGGCCCTAAAGCTCCGTCATAACATCAAGACACACAAGCATGAAAATGAGCTGTCTTTTAAGACTATAAGTATGCTGTGTTTTTAATAAACCTACAGCACAATACAATACTAGAAGATTAACAATTATATTAATAAAATAAATCAACCAGAGTTAGATTGGAAGGATAAACCGAGGCTCCTACCTTCACACATTTTTCCATCATGAATATCTGGACGCTGCATTGAAGCAGCTAATGTGACACTAAATACGTGATGAGATGCTCATCAGAGGAGCTGAGAATGTGCCTTCCCTCTCTGCTACCGTCGTATGGATAAAACAAATCTAAAAATGAAGTGATGACCGAGTAGAAGAAAGGATGGATTTACAAGCCCTCTGAAAAATGAATACTTCAGGGTAATGCAGGGGATAAATAATGCTTGACAGGCATGCATTAGCACGAATTAATGGACAACATAAAAGGCCAGTAACACCAAACATGCAGCGCGCAGACAAACGGTTAGTTTTTTATAGCAACGATGTTTAAAATCCAACTGGGATCAAACATAGATTGCTGCTTTTCAGCAAGCTTGATCCTATTTCCATTCGTTTTAACGCGCAAAACACCACAGAACCAAATACTTCCCTCTGAGAAGGAAAGTGACATCAACCTCTCTCTTTCTCAGAAGTGAAGCTTTGGTTCTCCTCTCTGCGATTTTGGAAAGAGCAGAATGCAGTTGGAAAGTGGAGGTTTGATGCGACATGAAATGAAGCTCTTTCCTCCCCGTCCAGACAAAAAAGGAGAGACACTTCCACTCTGAGCAGCAAACAGTTGACACTCTAAACTTTGTGTATTTAACCTCTAAATCTTCAGAAACTTACATTGCATTGACTTGTTTGTATCTGTTAATAAAAACTGAATATCTAAGTTTAGATGGTAAACTGGAACAACTACCAATTCAACTCTGAAATGAGAAGAAAGTCTTATCCCCACTAACAGTGGTTAAGGATAACTATTCTGGTCAGTGAGCAAACCTCCACTGGTTTTTGACTTGATGAGCCGCAGTGACGACAGCCCTGGTTTGACATGATTAAATAGTAAATGAAATACGTCGTGACCTAGTTGGTAAACTGACGCCAGCATGGTGGATCCAGAGTAGCAGCAAGCAAACCAGAAACATGCATGAAGCTGAGAAGAGGAGGAGACATCATTTCTTAATTTTAATGTAAACAGAGAACACAGAAATGCATGAGTTGGGTAACAAGGAATATTATGAGACATATTAGTGAAATAATTTAATATACATTAGGGTTGATTTTATTGTGTCCTTATTCTTGTTTACCATTATAAAGATTATATGTTTTCTATAAATGTCACTGCAGTAAAGATTATTTCAACTTCAGCACTTCAGCGAAGTCAGTGTTGTTCTTCCAAAACATGAATCATTGTTGAAATCAGGTCTCTCTTGTAAATGAGTCCTCGAGGCTCAATGGGATTAACCCGTCTAAATAAAGGTTGAATGAAACATGAACTTCCTGGACCAAAAAAAACCCAGTTCTTGTTTTGTATTCTCATACAGTAAATCCCTAAACCACCATTTGCCTGCTCTTGCTTATAATTACTATTGTTCTGACCAAGATGAGTTGTTTATTCAGTAATAATAAAAATAATTGTGATATCTCTGATGAGAGGAAGAGCTGTGATCGAAACGAGTCTTTAAATGAAACTGTATTAGTTTAAATATCAAGAATATTGGAGAAAATATGCAGCAAAGCCAACACTGTAGATCTTAGGTGCCAAAAAAAAACATATAATATTAGGATTAATTGTGATTATATTGTATGACTTTTAAGTGTGAGCTCTTTCCTTCTTGTCATCTTGAAGGTGTGCAAATATGACAGGATTTAAACTTTAAATTAAAGTGCCAAGCCTTTCCCTCTAAACTAAACAGTGAGGACACCTGATTATTTTAAATATTCAAATTAAATTTTACTGGGCCAGTTTTTTTACAGTTGGGATCGACAAGCCTCCTCTGAATTTCCCACATGAACACAGCATTATGTGCCGTCACGTTAGACTAAAACAATCTGGCCCTTTACAGACATAATTTAAAGAATGTGCTGATGTTAGCGTGATGCTATGCGCGGCTAACGTTAGCCTGCTAGCCTAGCTGCCTCAAGTTTACATAAACCGCAGACTGAACAGCCGCAACCGAGCCGCTGTGGGATTAAAACAAACCGACTGCAGTTGACGGTTTGCACGTTGCCGTTAAATCGTTAACGGCCGCTGCTGTTAACGTTAATGTTTGTGGTCAGCAGGTTAGCCTTGATGCTAGCGGCTAAAATGAATGGTGGGGGGAGGACGCGGGGGTTGGGCTAGCCGACAGCATCCAGACTCAGCATCCTCCCTCCACGGCAGTCAGAGGCAGCTCACCTGGTTGTAGGACACCCGGAACGGTTGCAGATAGTTGGACTCTGTGCACGGTACGACTTCAATGCCGTTAATCTCCTCCATAGTTCACGACTGGAGCAGGACGTTGGCTTCCCGATGTTTGACTGTCGCCGCGCGCTGACAGACAGTGAAGGAATGCCTACGGAAGCCGAGCGAGGACATTTAATTTAAATTCGAACTCGTTCGAGTTGTCCCCCGTTTGTCTTTTAAATTTTAGCTAAAGGTCCTAGCGCAAGAGACAAAGAGGTAGAGATGGAAGTGAGGAAATAAAGGCCCTATTGATTAATATTTTTAATAAACGGGTGTTTATTATTTTTCACATGTGAAATAAGGTCACAAATCAGTAAGCTTTTTGTAATTTTTTTAAATTCTGAATCTGAGGACATTAACACTAACAAATGTCCAGAAGATGTATTTAACCTTGCTGGTTTACATTAAGTTCAAGGTTCTATTGTCGTTCACATCACATGTGGTACATGAGGTGGAATAAAATTGTGTACACAAGGTCCCAGTTACATCACAAAATAGCAAAAATATAAAGTATAAAAAGAAACAGTACACAATGATCCAAGATATACGCTAAACACTAGTAATGCAAAATAATACGGTTTATTGAAAAGCAGCCTGAACATGAGTCTGTAGTGAGCAGATATGAATACAGCAGCTTAAAGGCAAGAAATCAGCAGCATGGATAATCAGCAGCACCAACAGGTCACATATCACCAATTAAAGTGGCATTACAGTGATCTTTCTTTGTTTTTTCTTACAGTGATTTTCTTGGTTAGGGATTTATGAGCCTAAGCTTTAGGGTAGAAGCTGTTCCTCAGTCTAGTGGTTCTACACTTGCTGAGGTTTTCATTCAGGTGCACACCCAAGTACTTGTAACTGGAGACCACTTCCACCGCAGATCCTCCCATGTTCAGGGGAGGCAGGTATAGGTGTGTAGGTAACAATACATAATACAGCCCAGTATATGCTGGGTATTTGCAGGGTTTGTACCTGGTATTTATAGGATATG